ATAGAGGCGGAACACGCGGGCGGTTTATTCGGCAAACGATTGGGCGCACCCGTCCGCGGGTCAGACGAGAGCGTTCCTTTTGGTACACAGAAGTTGGGATCGAAGTACACTGATAAACAATTGAGACTATACACGAATATCCCGTAAAGATAGCATGAATGCTTAAGAATACGTGTTTGTAAAAACTTTTTTCAATTAAAGATTAAAAAGTTTATTTTCTTGGTTGGGTTTTGTAGGAATGATTTACCGTTTTTCTAATATGTTATAGCTTAATGTTCTGCTTTTAATATAAAATACTCGAGCAAGCTGAGTTCAATCCCCGGGGTCGTACCTGACGTTGTAAATTTTAAGTGCTGACTTAGCGCGTACTTAGCGGTGAAGAAAAAAAACATTGTGAGGAAACCTGCAATTTCCGAAATAAGAAAAAATTGCGAAGATATGTGAAGTCCGCCAATCCACAGTGGCGTCGCATGGGGGACTGTAACCTAATGCCCTCTGTATAGTGGAGGCCTTTGACCCAGTGTATATATATATATGTATATATATAGGTATATTTATAATAGACATGCAAAATATTATATATGTAGCAGTCGCTACATATATGTATATAGAAATTATTGACTGTGAAACTGGATTCTTTCGGAATGAAGCGGGGACGCATAGCTTGTTACATACAAACGTGTAATAAGTATTATGAAACGTGTAACGTATGTACACTAATATACCTACTTCTTGCAGGCGACTGAAACATCTAGGCAAACACGTCGCGGTATTTCACAAACGGCCGCTAACAAATGATGTCAGACGAGAGGCATGCATTTCACGAGAGCGTCACTTGTGCTAACACCGCGTCGCGACAAGCTCAACACGGGGCCCAATTACGGACGCCCGGGTAACAATAAAGTTATTATAGTAAATACGACGCAGTACAGTCGCGCACATCACGAACGTATAACTGGATCCATAGAAATGTCTCTCGGAGTACACATCTACAGTCATAAATGAATAGATCGTGTATCGCGGTGCAGTTTTATCTTATCCTTTAAACAAGCAATTCTTGTACATTTTCGGAATCTTGGAAACGGCTCCGGCGATTTTCATGAAATTTAGTATGTGCGTGGATTCGGGGGCGAAAAATCGATCTAGCTAGGTTTCATTTTTATAAAATGTCCCTTTATCCCTGTTTTCAGGGAATGAAAAATATCATTCGAATATGACTGTAAATTTCGCCGCAAGAGAAAATGTTTTAATAGCTCGGTCGGTAATCGGGCGGCCCCAAAACAGACGGCCGTGGTTCGTATCACGATCATTAACACACTTATTTTTTTACTTTTTTTTCGATTCTAGATCATTGCTTTATTTTTTATTTTTTGTGGATTTGTTATTTTGTTATTTTTTTCCCCTTTTTTTTAATTCTTTCTTTTGTGAAAAAAACCAGTTCATATTTTCTTATTACTACGTCGGTAAGATCGAAAAATATTATGCATATTTCTCAGTTATTTGTATCTAAATGTAATTCCCAAAATACATGATTTACCAAAAAATAAACAAACCGAGCAAAGCTCCAGGTACTGTACTATTAAAAAAGAGACTAATGAAAAAGAGACGTTTTACTGCAACCTCTTGGGATTCGAACATGATGACTTCAGATGCCAAAGCCAAACTGGACCGTCACTGCCCTGGCAAGTCATAATTAGCAAAAAAAACATATAAAACAAAAAAAATGGCATACATATGTTCATTATTATAAATATTTTCTTACGTTATGTTAAATATTTTCGGTGTGTTTGTGTGTTCTCGGCTGTACACATTTAGATTTAATAACGTGAACAAGAATTACCTAATATTCTGTTCTACGTAGCATTTTTCTCAGTTTCAATTTCATGGATTTATAAAAGAAGAGAAACACGTCTCAACCCCGAGTGGAGGCGACTGTACCCATGCTTTGCTCAGAAGCGTCGCGCGTGCTTTATCAATGAGTGGAGCGATTTCAATGCGAAAAGTGTTTCTGCGTTATGAGATCACTTTATCGCCGGGGTAACTATTGTCTTGAAATATTCGTTTCATTATTGAACGCAAAACAAATGAACGCGCGCTAACGTCAGCGCACACATCTAACACTCCACGTGAAATCTCACATTTACTTCCTTCACAAATGTGATTCCATTATTTATGCAACGATTGCTAGGAACGAAGGAGAAAGAAAAATAACGAATAACACGGAAATAAGAGAGAGAGGGAGAAAAAACATTTACATTGAAAGTGCATTTGAAATTGGAACAAAAATTAGGACAACAGCTGTGCGATTACCGAAAAAGAAATCGTTACTGCCTGATAGATAGTCAAAACTGGCTTTTCACCTTCACCGACTTAACGAATGTTCACTTGTCTCGACATAATTACTTTTCCAATTCTAAATTTAAAAAAATCTTCTCTAATACTTAATTTGCCGACGAAGTTACAAACTCTTAGGGATTCTATCCCGCTCATTTTCAATTCGAATCTCCGACGTTTCGAACGCTTCACAAGATAAGTAAATTATTATTATTTAATAAGTGGACACAATTCAATGTGAGCCAAACTTGTTTGGACACGCGTCATGTGCCATGACATAGCTTCGTGCAACCTCAACCAGCGTAATCGAAAAGACGTACCCAACGAAAGCTAATGCCACACAATGCACCAAAATTAGTGAGTGAAGCGACGGCACTTAAACGACGGTACCAAAACGACGTCACTAAAACGCGCAAGGTCTACATCGAGGGTAGCAGGAAGTAGATGAATGGAGGAGTAAGTTCTGAATGGTAAGGCAGCTAAAAAACCTTTAAATTATTTTTTCAAGTTTTAGTTGCCAAGCAAAATATTGGCAATTCCAAAATTTTAGATTATAGTTCAATTTTTATTGTTGTCGCAGCTGGTCGTGGGTTCGATTCCGTGCTTGCGAGATCTGTAGCCGACTGTTCCGGATTCGGAAGGTTTCAATCCAAATGCACATTTAATAGCAACCAGAGCCAACAACAGCAAATTGGGTGCTTTCTTAGTATGAGATTACTTTATCTATATTTATAAGTATTAGATGTAAAGAAAAGGCACACAAACGATCCTAAACTTTCGGAACCCTACAGCGGAGAGCCCATGGTGCAGACCGAGCTTTGTTGCGGGAAAATAAACAAGCGGGCGTCACGCGATGTTTCTACAAATACACCAAATGCTCACAATGTTTTTGTATGCATGCACGGATTCACCTTGAAAGTGTTTTGTTTCACTAATTGTTAGTTGTATTTTTTTTTTTTTCACTTTTCCTTTCTCTTAATGAAATATGTATTCCATTATACTATTCTGGTGGCAGCCTCGCATTGGCCATTGTAGTGTAGGGTGCCCTCCACTAGATGGATTGACAACCTGTGCAAGTGTGCTGGATGTCGATGAATACAGGTGGTTCAGGATTGCGCTCGGTGGCAGTCTATGCGGAAGTCTATGTTGAGCAGTGCAACTTAAACAAATTTGTACACAAAAACTTTAACTGCTATATGAAAAACAATCAATTTTATCAGTTGAGGCCTCAGCCATTATAGGTCATAGATTAAGTGTCAATTTTTTTATGTTATCTCAACAAATCTTATTAAAATCTAAATTACAATATTAAGGTGTCATTTAATAATAACAGATATTTAAATGCATATCTTCTATATCCATCATGATATTGTAATTTAATATACACAAGAATTTAAGTTACCATTCTTGTTTAAGCCCTTACTATTTTAATTACATTCCGCTAAGATGTTGTCAATGCAGGGCAAACAGACAAAAAATGCTAAATGATGAAAAAGTTGAATTTGTATTATAAATAATAGTTTCCACTTAAAATTTATTTTCAAATCACAGACAAGCACTTTAATTTTAAAAAGATATAGATAGATTTTTCATTTAAATTGTATTGTATTTTGCGTGGAAGGGGATGGGTAGTAAGTCTCAAAGACCATTTCAACCTGGAAGGTCTATTTAAGTCTTCGCATTGCAAATATTGACCCCAACTGTACGATAACATTATATTTGTCTTCATTTAAGGATACTTTACTTACATAAATTTCGCATGGCCAAACACCCAAATCCAAAACAATTATCTGCGGTTCTTACAATTGTTGTCCTGTATGGAAACCCACAACCCCCAACAAAATATTTATGGAGTAAATAAACTGTATTGTGGTTCTCATGAATCATTGTAATTAGGACTGTATGAGTTTACCTTGTTTTTCTATTTAGCTTCAGTTGATTAGAGAAAAAAAAATTGTTGATTTAGAAAAAAAATTTAAAACTTGTGTTTGTTAATAATGATAATAGTTATAACTTTTTTTTCTCAAAACTTAAACTTCAGTGAATATCTTTACTTTGTAATTATTGTTTTGCTTGTTTCTCTATTAAATAGAACATTTGCAAGTAAATAAATAATAAATCTAATAAATAATTACCTAATTTTAAAACTTTTTGGAATAGGTCATACTTCCAAAATATTGCTTCAAATGATTTTTAACTATCTTAATGAACTTTTATCACATACAGAGATGACATTGATATGTAATCCTTCATAAAAATATATGGAATGATTAATTCATAAATATTTCAAAATATTTTTTAATGTAAGTGTTAAATATCTGTACATGTAAAAAAGTGAGTATAGAGTGATTGTGCGAAAAACTTCAAAATATAGCTGTATACTTTTGCAAGTCATTAAAGTCTGCAATAACATGTTAGTTAATTGCCACTGTAAATCAATTAGGTACTTTTTTGTTGCTCAAATATTTTATTTGAGGAATTGTTGTTGTTGTTTGATAATCCTAATCATTAAAAGTGAACATTTTATTTGTGAAAAGTTTGTAACAGTTTTTTATTTGTGCCAAAACATCATCTTTTTGAGAAAAAAAATACTTACCAATACAATTAAATCCACTGATTAAATTGTTTGAAATTTTATATAGGTTAAGAAAAATTTCAATATTTTAAATAAAAAGTACAAGCTTATTAGAACTCACCTTGAACACCTCGGAGAAGAAACCCTCCCCAATCTTCTCCAAAACGAAATCATCGAAAGGATATAGGGCCGCCACCGCAGTCCGTAGCGCAGTGCATGACGACCCAGTCACTCTTCTGTCACCAAGTTTCTCACTATCCTCACTTACACTCGACTCCTCGCACTCATTTTCACAACACACACCGCGTTTCGTCCTACAACCGTTTTCTTGAACGTCGCGGTACCTCCGTCCCGTCTTAGAATAAGGACCGCGCAAGTAGCGTCCCGCCTTTGCCGTTTCATCTAAATTCGTGAAGCTCTCGGCTATCTTCAGCACCTTTGTGGGCTTCCGTCTCTCAAACGCGCTGATGCACTTCGCCTCCTCCGCTTTACACTCGTCTTGCATTCTAACTGTTGTTAACGCAAGTAGCGTTTATCCCGCTTCAAACATAGTGGTCAAGTGTCTCTCCTCGACATACGCATACTCCAACGTGTACAGCACAATATTTATGTGGCGGTACTCGAAACTATATGAAACATTGTTATGCACTCACAAAAAAAGTCGGATTTTATGCGACTGTCACTTTCACATATTTCTCCAAATCTACTTATTTTTAAAGATGTTTACGGGTCCATAAGTTATAAATGAGAACACTTCTGTTTATTTCTTTAATTAGAGTGTAACGCGATTTATTTATATCACGAATAACAGCTCAGTTTACTGACGACGCGCTCTTTAGCAATGTAAGGAAAGCAGAAAGTAAGCAACGAAGCATTGCCAGTTGCCATCTACAACAAACTACACATGACATATCAATCACTTATATTGGTAGCCCTGTTTGACAACAATGACAATGTTACAAGTCGCAAAAAATTGTGTTCGAAAATCATTACTTTGTTGTTACTATCTGATTGAAAAGTATTTCACATCTCCAATTGTTGTTGAATTTCTGTTTAATAAATTTAATAATCTTTTCTAAGGTGAGGAATGAATGATAAAGAAACTAAGTAACCAATATAATTTCATCCACAAGCAGTTTTTCAAAGTATAAGAATACGCTGTATATACCGTACTTATTCTGGGACCCAACCGACCAATGCAGCCTGTGAGCAACTGGTTTAAGCATGATTTTTTTTATAACATAAATGTTCACCAAAAATTACTTCAAAGTATGCCATACGCAAAAAAGTCTAGAGAATATATTGTTAAGCCCTGAACTTTGGTTCTTAGCAAAGCTATGCTCAATATTTGATGTGGATACAATCCGACTCAGACGTAGATACGCATCAATCTCGGATCTCTTATTATTATTTACTCAGTTATTTATTACCCATATGAACAAATAATGAGAAATTAAAAAAAAATTAAAATTAATTCCTTACTTCACGTGTTGATGTTTCTTTCGAAGCTCTATAGATGGTGTTGTTTTTTTTATTGCTTATCGATTAATAAACTATTTTAAAAATGGTTAAAAAGTCTAAAAGTATGCAAGGCTGTTTGTTAATTTAGAATTTAATTGAGAAAATACCTTTCTGATCTTATATAGTGAACGTACATACACATTGAATACTTAAATAACAATAAAAGCTAAACCCAACGTTTGCAATATCACATGTTTCTGTATGCAGTCTGAGCAGTCAGAAATTTAATACCCTATTGTTAACCAACCCGCTACGTGAAAATAGAATAATTGGAAAATTATTCTAATATAAGGTTGCTTAGGCGCTAAAGTCTCAAAAATTCATTGAGGCATTTAAGATTTGTGGTGTGTGAAAAATTATTTATTATTATAATTGGGTCATCCTACGTGGACTCAAAACTGACTGACGAATGATTGGTCACTATTACTGTTTATACGCCAAATTAAACTACGACGGGCGCCCCCTTAATTACACACGAGTGATTGGTAAATAAAATTAAAGTTCTTTTCTTTAAAGTTTTAATAGGGTTCCGTACCCAAAGAGTAAAACGGGACCCGTTTACTAAGACTCCGTTGTCTGTCCGTCTGTATCTCATGAACCGTGATTTTTAGACAGTTAAAATTTTCACAGATAATGTATTTCTGTTGCCGCTATAACAATAAATGGTTAAAAATAGAATAAAAAATATTGAAGTGGGGCCCCCCATATAAGAGACATGATTTTTTTTTGCAGTTTTATAGATAGAATAGTACAGAACCTTCGTGCGCAAGTACTACTCGCACTACCGGCTAGTTGGTATTTTTATTTTTTTTCCGTAATTAGTGAACAAGGGATTTGAAAGGAGTTAAATAAGAAACAGATCACTTATTTCGCTGTTTATTATAATTCATGCTGACGACTATATACTTAAATTAAAATGTACCTATATCACACACTGGAAACCGGTGACAAGTCTCATAGAAAACCACATCCACTCTTAAAAATATATAGGAGGGTGGTTTTCTATAAAGCTCTGTTCCCAAAAGAAATATTCTCTCAAACACTTTAAAAATAACAATACTAGCTCAATTATTCACAACTGTCTAACTACTGTCTATTAAAAATTTAACGCTCAATAGCTATAAATACAAATATATTATTGCTGTCGCGATTTAATATCTAATTTCAACCTTATCTATCTAGATAACTATACATTTATCTCAAAATGAGTATTCGTTTTTTTTCACTTATCTAGATGTAAATTCTAAAACCTAATCTTACCTATTTTAGTATTGCTTGATGAAGGAAAACATTGCTTTCCTTAGAAAATAGGCGTAACAAATTCTTATATAGTTATCAGATAAGCGACCATTAAATGGTACATTTGTAACATTTACGACAGGGTGCAAAAGGTGCACATCGAATTAATGCAGACAATATTATGCATACGTATACAGTTATAGAGAAACAAAACATAAAATTTCCTAAAGTTAGTCATGTTTTTGCAGAGGAAAAATTAATTAATTGTTAAAATCATTATACTGAACGAAGTTATAATAAAAAAAGAACGTTTATTAAAAGGCTAAGAGTAACTCAATTGTTTTGCATATACATATGAACTAAAAGATTCAAAACAACTAAAATTAATACCTTGCAATCTAAAAGTTTCCTAACTATTTTATGGCATCCATCTACATTATAGAGAATTGGTAAACAATTCAACATAGGTTTAATTTTTTACTTTTAAATTATTATTTTTTTATATGACAAATGCAAGTTGAAATATGTGCCAATTAATATTTAAACCTATACAAGTGTAAACTGCAACGACAATGGCGCAAATTGAAATAAAATGTTGAATTAAGAATACTGATTATTAAAATAATTTTATTTAAAAATATATCAATTTGTCCTTCGAAGTAACCTCTAACCCATTTACCTGATTATTTGGACCGCTGTGACACGATCAAAGTATTCTTTCATTAAATAGTTTTTACAAAGTAGCATTGAGAACGGGTTATTTTGAAACCGGCTAATACTTATCGATATTTATTTAGATTTCAGATATTTATCAATTACCTTTAAGCAGTCAAGAATGCCAGTTGTGGAAGATAATTAAACAATTGATGCCAGTAGTATTAACCAATTCTCATCTAAGTAAACTTGGTAAAAGTTGAAGGCGGCCCAAGTCTACTTTGATTGGAAGTAGTCATTCAAGAACTCTTTGACCATAAAATGACATTTAACTTGCTAGCTTTGACATTTAAAATGCCGTCGAAGTAGCTGTCAAATATAAATTTTGACAACAACAACCTTTCAATTCAAAATTTGGCTCCATCAAAGATAGCTTGATGATTCTGCTAATCTTAATGTGGAATAAAACAGACAGTAAGTGATTTGATTACCCAGTTTGCTTTTGTATAGTACTTTTACTTATACACTTGTCAAGTGTTGACAGTGACAAGTGTATCAAATACAAGAACTTGGTCTTTTCAACGTAGGTAGTGGTTTAAGCAAACTCTTTTTCCAATTTCTATGGTTTTAGTAATTAACACAAGCACTGTTCTTGTTTGCATAGCTTCACGAACGAATATTGCTAAATTATTCTAGCTACGCGATTTAATGTTATAACAATTTTGTACATTGTTCTAAGCTTCATGTGTGGAAATATATGTTTACGAATTATGTATGTATATGTTTATGATTTTATCCTGTAAATTACATAGTGCTATTTGCCTATATATTCAACAAATGTATACAATAAAAATATTTTGAGAGATACAGTCTTAATTGATGCTTATGTTACATGCGACAAAAAATACATTACTCAAGTTCTTAAATTAAATTCCAGAATATTAATAATTGCGTTTAGATGGTTTTCATTTTTTGATATAAAACAGCAACAAAGGGGAAAATACTCTCTACATAATGCTTTTTAATTTAAATAAGTAGGAGAAAAAAAATAAAACCTTTGCATGATAGTAAGTATTAAAGGTAATTATATAATTTACTTATGATATAATACATATTTAAAAAATTTGAAAACAAAATAATCGTACGTACACTTTTTATTAGGGATATAGGTTTCATTTTAAGCTATAGGCTAACCTCACTAATTACACTGCTAAACATTTCATAAATTTGCATATTAGGTAGGTTATTATATTCGGCTTCTGGTTGACTATTTATTTAACATGTTTTTTTAACATTTGTGACCTTATATTTTGTAAAACAATAATATGGAGAAATTTAAAAAGCATTTGAAACTCTTCAAAGTAATATTTAATACCTTTACATTCAAACATTTACATTGTGTCATACATGAATTGATAGATTATTTAAAATGAAATTGTTTCAAACTGGTGAAACATAACAGAAACAAGCTTTAATTAGAATCAATTACTTGAATTTTATAATTTAAATTCTTTAATAAAATGTAAATTATTGTAAAAAAGTGTTATTCAAGTAAATAAGATTTCATTAATAAAAACGAAAGACACACAATCTGTACACTCTACCTACATCAGAAACAACAAGTAAATTTCACAACCATTTGCACCAAATTTCTGTGAACTGATGTATACTATTTAAAGTGATATCATTTAACATTAAATCGAATTAGGCAAGCAGATGCAACTTTAATTATGAGATTCCTTTCTGACTTTCATTATTGGGCTAAGATATAAGAAGACATTACACTGCATATACAATTGTAATTACAACATAATTCTATTATGAAGATCTGTCACACCTTTGGCAACTGCTTCATTTAATCTTTTCCAAGTACTGAAAGTATACATAATAAAACTTGGAATATATATTCAAGAATGACCACCGGTTCAGAAAACAACAGGTTTTATGAAATGAACACGGAATTTCATTAAGATTGAGTTTCTACTTTCAAATCTTAATTACCCTTTTCATCACTTGTTTGTTACAAACAATATAATTGCAATATTATCTGTACAAAACTGTTATACTAAATACATGATTTTCTTTAAATTCATTTTTTTCTTTAAGATACCATAAACGGTAGTTTATCAGTTAACAGTTTTTATTATTTTGCAACTACATGTAGAAAATAGTACACAAAATCATTACATTAAATTATAAATGAGAAAAGTGTGTAAACATTTAATATTACTTGGCTTAAATGCTTGAACTAACTTAAACTTATTGAGAATTAAAATAAAGTCCATTAAAATTAAATCAGTAATTACTACTTACACATGTATAATGAAGTGATAGTCAACAAATTAATAAACAAACTAACTGCTCGATTGATTAATGCATGAAAAATGTAGCTATTTGTACAATGTTAGCAGGAAGAGTAGCAAATCTATATGTTATGGTTTAATCACAACTGTTTGCCAATATGATATTGCTGCTATAAATATATATTTCATTTATTAGCAATAACTTAATAAGAGTGCATATCTATTTTCAGTTTATTTCCGAAGCTATTCGGTGTATCCATAACATTATTATAACAAGATATACATACAAATTTATAAATAAGGCATTTAACTTACTTTTTACAAAACAAAAAGTTCAAAATCAATGACCGCAAAGAAAATAATTAAGAAAGTGAGAAACACTCTCGCACAAGATAAAATATTTCTATCCTAGCAAGCAATGTCTTTCATACATACTCTTAGTGCGTCCACAGGTATTCTGTTGAACAGGGCACAAATAGTATACCTGCTGTTACTATAAAATTGTCTTCGCCATCGGAAAAGCTTTCCATATTAATTCAAACAGTTATCAGGGACAGACTACCATTATTTTAATATTATTCATTTTGTCCCATTTGTTTATTAGAAAAATATGAATCATGTGGTAAAATCCAAAAAGCCTTAGGCAATTACAATTTTGACAGCAGCATATTGAAATTTATACGTGTCTTATTTAGTTATATCGATGTATGTTAAAACATTACTTTTAAAAGGGTCAGGCAAAGTGGATAATTTTATTATCGCATCAAGAATCACCTTGGTATGATGAATTGAACAACCATTATTACAATGAAGACGCAATGGGGTGAGGATATCAGCGGTTGCTTGTTAGGTTGATCTTGACATTCGCCTGAAAAATAAATTGATAAAGATTGTTAGGCAGCTGGTTGGGGTTAACTAGTTTTGAATAATTAGTTTCAGCCAGCTAGATTCAGATAACTAGTTTCAGCCAGCCGGTATTTCGGTGTTCAGGCTAGGTATGTGCCAGCTACTTTTGGATAGGAAGTTTCACGTGGGCTAGTTTCGGAGAACTAGTTTTCTTAGTCGGAAAAAAAAACAACTTGCGAAACAACTGTGTGGATCACACAAATTGTTGTCCCGTGTGGGAAACGAACCCACAACCCCTAAGCCAATACCTCGGCGACAGCGCCACGGAGCCTCGGCCGATAGCGAGCCATTGACCCAGTATTACCGATCATTAAAAATACTCCTAAAGCAATCCAAAAAACCACTAACTTCTTAAATGAGAGACATTCAGGGAGTTTTGGTCTGAATTTACCACCTAAAACTTCCATTGTAAATTTTTTCCTACTAAATTGTAGTAATTCCCACTAAATTGAGTGAAGACCTGTGTGGGAAGTCGATGGATGCAGGTGACACAGGATCCTACTTCGCGACAGTCTATGGGGGAGGCCTACGTTCAACAGTGGACTCAAACAGGCTGAAATGATTATAATAAATATTTTATATTTTTCAAGTAGCCGCCCGCCACCCGCTATGCCAATCGGGTCGACAAAATGACGACGATGACGAAATTGAGCCGGCATCCCTGACAGCACTGACCGGTCGGTGGGTGAGGCCGCAATATTTCTCCGGCAGTGGGGATCGAACCCACTACGCCATTGGGGTCGTCGAAGCGACTAAGACGACGAAACTGAACCGCCGCCGACCGGTGCGCGCGGCGTCTCTCGCATATTTCGCCAATAGTGGGGATCGAACCGACGCCCCGCCAATCGGGCCGTCGAAATGACGGTGACGAGGAGACTGAGCTGCCACTGACCGGCGGGCTTGGCGTCGTAGAGCGCCGCCGCGGGCTCCGGCCGCTCGCAGTTGGCGGCGGAGCGCGCGACCGCCAGCGAGCCGCCGCGCGCCTCCCGCGCCACGAAGCAGTGGCGGCGCGCGGCCGTGCTGTCGCGCGTCACAGGCGTGGTCACCACGAACGAGGCGCCGTTCTCGTACCAGCCGCCGTGGCACGTGTACGCTGCGCGCCGACGTGTTTACCGTTTATAGATAATCTACGGCGTTCCGCACCCGAAGGCCTGCCCATTCGTGCAACACCCGCCTCGGCTGTTGCACGAATGGGCAGGCCCGTCCGGGTAAGTACCACGACCTCGCAGAAGACCGGCGTAAAGTGGAAGTATAATACTTTCGCGTTTCCTCTGGTGAGTGAGGTGGCCGGAGCCCAATTTACAAAACGTTTTCAACGCATCTGGAACCCTAGGGTGTAGCAGATATCCATGGTCGGCGGTATTCACTTAACATCAGGTGAACCGTCTGCTCGCTTGACAACTATTCGCATAAAAAAAGGGTGAAACGGGACCCTGTTTCTAGGACTCCGCTGTCCGTCTATCTGTCCGTCTGTCACAAGGCCAGATTTAGAGGTCTCGAGGCCTCGGGGCAACAAAGCCGTGGTGGCCCCTTGGCCCCAAATTATTTTCTATCCATATCTGTTAATATTTAATGTAATCACGTTTGTATAAAGTTCTGTAGGTAAAAGTATAACGCGAAAAAATATATGAAATGAAAAGTTGTTTACTATTGTTTACCAGTCTGAATTTTAATTTTTTTCCGAAGTCTATTGTGGAGGCCCCGGGGCTATTGCCGCGGTTGCCCTCCCCTGAATCCGGCCCTGGTCTGTCACCAGGCTGTGTCTCATGGACCGTGATAGTTAGACAGTTGTACCGCCGCCCTTGGAGATCTACTATATCTGATTGTTGATGCGTTGCCAACCGTTAAAAAGTGGGCACCGGATACCTCAATCGGCAGACGAAACGCGAAACCTCGGATGAGACTGCCCGTTCGGGCAAGTGCCGAAGCTGCTACGTTAAGCGCGTTAAAAAAAAAAAGCGAGTCGAACAAGACGGCGTTTAGTCGATTCGTTCTTTTAAGTATATTCTAATATGGCTCAAAACGAATTGTTCTTTTATGAAAAAGAATGTAAAAGTCAAAATCTGACACCTCCTCAGACACTTTAGAATCGTGAAAGGGAAAAACTGACAAGAAACTCATTTTATTAAATTTTTCTCTTACATGAATCAGTATAAAATAAGCAAAGTCTTATTAATCTTCAGTATTGAGTGTTCAATGTATTGAAATCATTCAGTACTTCAACAGTATTTTGCTACGAAATGCGTAGTTTTTATCGTTACGACCACTGCGACATTGAATTATAGGTGTTAGTATAATTATTTGTAACTCTGTTGAAACCGTGGGTCGTGGGTTCGATCCGCGCAAAGGGCGCTTGTGTTTGCAATTTTATCTCAGTAAACTCCAAGATAAAACAATCCCTATTAATCTAAAAGTATTATATTAAAATATTATACGTGTAAACTTTTAAAATGAATAAATTAACTTGCGCACTCACCCGTAACTAGGTCCTTATTTTCGCAGGTGGAGTAAAACTCCATGTTCTTCGCGGAATTGCATCCAACCTCCAGTCTGTAGTAGTTGCTGTTGGCGCAGCTGACGTCGCCTTCCTCGGACTGTCTCCGACTCCTCAAGATCGGGGTGTCCGACATGTTCCTAACGCTAAAATTGAACAACCTAGTGTGGTTAAGCCTACTGCTATGTCTGACACTCTCTCTGTCCCTCTTGCTCCTGTGTATATCGTTCTCTTTCCACGGTGGCGACCTCGCGGTTCTCTGGTGGTGGTGGTTCTGTATGCTGTATTTGCCAGAGTACGGACACACTTTTGACTCTGGGTTGCTGGCTGGAATTGCAGAATGGAAAAGTTTAGTTGTATATCAAACAGTTTATAACTTCCGACTTCTATAACTTCGACATTCAAATATTCTCATCTGAAGAACCAGAGACGGAATCAACAAAAACGGAAAGTAACTTTTGTTTATGTCTATTTTAGTTTTACGAATTCCCACATTTTCGTAAATTCCAATCAATTCTTAGTTTGCAGAACCCTTTTTTATTTTAATTACAAATAGTATAATATTTATGTGTGCTACTTATGTCGCACACAGTTTGAGATCTAGCTCTAAGTAGCGACTTAATCAGTCCAAATCAATTCTTTCATACCAAAAAAAAAAAAACCAAAGTAGCTTTTATTGTTACAAGGAAAGTGCACAGAAATTTCAGACAGGGCACTAAAAAAAATTGTCAATTTGTGAACAGGTCACTAAAATGATGTGTCCTTTGAAAAAGTGAGATGAAAAGTTCATTTGCTTTAATAAAAAAAAAAGATGACTACAATAAGTCGTGTTTGTATTAGACGACGGGATATGCAAAGCTTTTTGAAGGAGAGGAAACGTTTATTCACGGCCTAAGCAGTGTATTTTGCATGTATGGAGTGCAAGGCTCAGCCCGTCATCCCAACATAGTTCCGTCCGCACCTGCGATGGCGACTTACCAACTAGCGTGATGTAGGGGGCGGTGATGGCGTTGAAGTGGTGGGGGGAGCAGGCCTCGTCCGGCCTCGCGGTGGGGGTTCCCCGTTGCAGCTCCGCGATGTACGTGTCGCGGCGGTACAGCACCACGCACACATAGCGAGAGACGCTGCGGACGTATTTCAACGATTAAAACGTGTAGAAAGAAGTGCGAAAAGTTTTTGAAGTTATTATTCTTTTGGTGCGTTAGGGAAAAATGATGAGAGAAAACCGCCACTTTCTGAAGTTAGCTAGACATCTACGTATAGTTGCGTGACAACTATATGCACGATATTTATTTTGTGATATTTAAATAAACTTTATTTAACTAGATAATGCGTCATAATAAAACTTTCAATGTATTATATACCTTTTTTCTATTTTTAGTGTCCTTTTTTCTACAAATGTAGGCGAGAGATAAAATTTTTTTAAAAGATTTTTATCTTGATACGCCAAAGAAGTATAACTTCTAACGCGTGTACGTTAGTACATGCGTTAGAACAACAGCACACACACTTTTTTATTTTTTGGGAATCGAATCCACTTCGGGATTCGCGCCCTGACGCTTTAGCCACTAAACTAGACGGCTGATTGCCACATCGGCGAAATTTTCAATTGACGTCAATGAACCCGTGGTGCAGTTGCAAAGGTATCTTCGGCGCTGGGGGTTGTGGGTTCGATCGCACACTGGACAAGTATTTGTGTGGGCTGCAGTCGATTCGACCTGGAATGGCAAGTATTCTCGTAGTTCCACTCACCAGTGGTGCGGTTGGGGGGGTTATAAAATGCTAAAAAACATCACATGACTAATTGACGGCCCCTTACGCTGAGGCCAAAACGACGCTTAGTAGACCGAAATCGAGCCGATGAATGAAACAGCTGGAAAGGCGAGTATTCTGGTAGTTCCACTCACCAGTGGTGCTGCCAGTGGGCCACCAGGGCCACGGAGTTGCCGCTGGGCGAGCTCGCCTTCACGCTCACGCAGTAGACCTTGATGTCGGCCCCCGTCTGGTCGGTTATGCGCAGCGTCGCGTTCCTCTGGTGGAAGGTGTAGTTGCTCCCGAAGTCGAGGGTGTGCCACGTGTGCGAGAAGGTCATCCACGCGGGGAACTGGCAGCTGAAGCGCACTGATGCTGGGGTGGAGGGATCTTTGAATAGACGGCGCGTAGTTGCACATTTTCCGGGTTCCGCACCCGAAGGGCGAAACGGGGCACTGTCACTAAGACCCCGCTGCCTGTCTGTCTGTCTGCTTGTCTGTCTGTCTGTCTTTCTGTCTGTCCGTCTGTTACCAGGCTGAATCTCATGAAAAGTGATAGTTAGACAGTTAATATTTTCACAGATTGCCTCTTTTGCCGTTATAACAACAAATACTAAAAAGCAGAATAAAAAAAAAATTAAGTGGGTCTCTCATGCAAGAGACATCATTTTTTGCCGTTTTTACAGATAATACGGTACGGAACCCTTCGTGCGCGAGTCCGACTCGCACTTGTTTGGTTTTTTTATGTGATAAGCTGACGGTTCACCGATGTTAATCGATATACGCCGACTATGGACATTTGCAATTCCGCAAGGTTGTAGGTGCGTTGTCACGTTTCAATAAAGGGCCAGGTTACCTCACTGACCAGATGAAAAGCAAAACCTTTAACACTTCCACTTGACAGGTACAGGAAGTACCTACGTACGGACGCTGCCCATTCGTGAGACGGCGAAGACTATTGCGTTCTACTACAGTAAAATCTGCCTTGATATTCAACATCTACATACATGCAGGTAAAAAAAATTAAAAGAGTGTCTGTTTGTAAAATTAAAATAACCGTTGTTTACTTAAAGCATATGGATACACGGGTAAATATTCCAAAATAATATTTTTTACAATGTCTATTTTTTCCGGCTAATCTCTGAACGGCCGATTTTAACGAGACTTTCACTGGCAAATAGCTGGTGTAATAAGGAGTAATTTAAGCCAGTTTTATTTAAGAAATTTTATTTATTTTAAATACCACGCGGACGAAGTCATGCGCACAGAAAGTATAGACGTCCATTTTTTTATTAACGATAAACAAAATCGACTTCAAATATCTCGCTATGTATTAGTTTTATGATTGATTTTCTGGAGTTCCCTACGTATCTCCGGAGCCCAAGATCCAATACCAATGTAATTAATACGGGACCACATGGGAAGCACCAGCTTTAAAATAAAAAAAGAATCATCAAAATTGGTTCACTCAATAGAAAGTTCTGAGGTATCCAAAAAAATACAGTCGAATTGAGAACCTATAAAAAAAATACAGTCGAAATGAGAACCTATAAAAAAAAATACAGTCGAATTGAGAACCTATAAAAAAATACAGTCGAATTGAGAACCTATAAAAAAATACAGTCGAATTGAGAACCTATAAAAAAAATACAGTCGAATTTTGAAGTCGATTGATAAATTCACAAGGCACAAATGTACCTCTTTTGAGTGCCATAGTCCTGGAGCCCTCTGTCGCGCTAAATAGACCATTGCAGGTGGCGTCTCCCGATTGGGCCACCCTGTATTCAACCCCGGCAGCCAAGCTCGGACTGTCCTTCAGAGTTATACTGGAACCTGTTGTACGAGAGAAAATTTAAGTCGAGTCAGTCAAAATTTTAGTTATTTTTGAGACTTACTTAGCTTATATATGGTTGTAATAATCAATAAAATCACGTGTTAATGGTTATTTACGCGTATAAATGTGAGTTTTGAAGCTTACAAAGTCATCAAATACTAGAAAACAATGGGTCCAAATAACATTCATAGCAGTTAAGGTCTCCAAAATAAAATAACATCGAATTTTTCACAGATATTTATATTTATATGGATTTATTATCACAGATAAATATAATTATTATTGTTTTATGCGAGAAGGTGGCAAACGAGGTGGAGGTTCAACTGATGTTAAGTAATGATAACCGCCGCCCATTGACATTTGCAACACCTAATGCCGTCTTAGGCCATATCGGGGCCCTAGGGCACACTTTGGCGGCACACGCAAATATTATGTTTTTTTATTTATTCTCGCCGGAATATATCTACCAAAAATACCGAGAAATTTCTATAGTTTAAGCGAATACGTAGCCTATGCGGGGCCTTCGTGATGACAGGGGCCCTGGGCACAGGCCTCGTGTGCCCTTATAGTAGAGACGGTACTGGCAACAGCTGTTATAAATTATTATATGCTTAGCAAATATATTCTCTGATTTGGCGTTCTCGGTAATATAAGATGCTGCTTTTTGACGCGTTGCCGCAGTTGCTAAGACATTGGTTGCAGAGCAGGGGATCGTTGGTTCAATCCCCTCATGGAACAAGCATTTATCGTTGGGGAAAAGGCTAAGTTTCCACGACCTTGACGGACGCTAATCAGAACAAATAAAACAACCGCGACGAAGATCAAATCGCTGGCATATTTTACTAATTATTACTGTGAAACGCTCTAGACATTAAGATGAACATAAAAAAAAAAACACGACGAAGGCCACTCACCGATGCCGTTCGTCTTCTCGTAGACGAAGCACCGGTAGCGATCCTCGTTGCTGGTGGCGTGGTTGTGGTGCAGCTTGCCCACGAGGAACCTCAGGCTGCCCTCCTTCCACGTGGCCAGGCACTCGAGCTCCTCCACTGGTGGGAAACAACAAGTAGATCAGCGAGAATCTTTGTTTTAACACATTAACGCCCGGTTTCTGAAACACTGATCAAAAGACATTTGCTGATTAGTAAACATGTAGATGTTAATCTAATCGTAGGATGATCATGCCCAGTTTCCGAAAGGCCGATCAAAGCAGCAATCACATAACACTATGTCAAAAATGATCAGCTGTTAATCTCTTGTTAAACTGTCTTGGGTTTCTGGAAGGTTTGTTCAAGAAAAAATTAGCTAATCACTGTATAACCAATGATAATGAATGAAATGAATGATTTATTTCAACTAACTCTTTCTATTGTATAGCTGTCCCTTTTTAAACAAAACTTAAATTAACGTCACTATCCAGTCCTGTCACCGTGTGATTGCCAACGTAAAAATTCGAGCTATAATAAAATTTAATTTATATAAATACATGCAAAATGTCAAAAAAAAAAAAACTTTACAGAACGTGAAAAAAATGAATCTTTTATCCATAATAAACAAGTAAGCATTATAAAAAGAAAGAATACATATTATTTATTAATTTTTAATTGCATTTTGTATTTTTTCTAATCACATGATATGTTCGCATAATAATAAATAATAAATAGGTAATAGAACACATGAATGTCCTAACAACGTGTTAGGGAATTATGTTTATTTTTAATAAAAACTAAGATTTTTGATAAATAACATTTTTAACCAACGATTGATCGTCCAAATTGACAGATTACTTAATAAAACTTTTGACAGCTCGTTGACCACCGAAAAACGCTTGCAGAAACTCGATTTTCTGTTGATTGTCCGTTAATCAGTGACTAATTGCAAATCAAAATCAATGTTGTTTAAGACGTTCTAGCAACTCAGATCATGTTAAACAACGATTGACAAGAGATTTATCGTAAATTAAAATTGATTGCGCTTTCGGAAACTGGGCGTCAGTGTTTTAGAAGCCGGGCGTTTGTTAAATTAAACCGCACTGGACCTGAAAAACAACGGTCGCGATGTCTCACAAAGTTGTTTAAATGGATCGCACGTATAAAAGTGCTAATTTCAATATAGAATATATGGCATATAGCTTGAGCTTGTTAGTTAATGCCTTATAGCTCCAGTTATGAGTCGAAGAAGACGTGAAAGAATGTTGAAACATGGACCAATTGTATAAAAAATTTTGTTTGTTCGTAGAGGCAATACAAACTATTAAACAACAAAACTATATTTTTTTTTTGTAAAATGCAATAAGTATTTTTTGTTGTCATTTTTAACTTTTCGTTTTTTTAAATAAAATTTAATAGTATAAAATATAAAATTATATAATAGCAAATCCTTCATGTACTTTTTTAAAACGGATTAAATATATGTATACGACATATAACAGTTTAAAGAAATTATTTTAGATATGAAAACAACCATCGCAAACATGATACTTTTTATTAAAGTATTGTCTGTTAAATAGTTTTATTTAGAAAACAAAACAAGATACAATAATAACTCTATAATAATAACTATCTTCTTGGTGTTCAAGGCGTCAGAACATTTTTATACGTTGATCACATAATTTTATATAGAAATGGAATCTGCAATAGTTTATTTTATTTATTAAGTAGTAAGAAGAAATACGAAGGGCACATCAAGGAGTAAGTCACGTTGGTTCGGAGTAATTACAATAGATAAAAGAAATATAAAATCTAATTAAAACAGAGATTAGACTGTACGGGATAATTAGGGCCCTAAAAAATTGACGTTGTAGAAATTGGATTAAGGGCATTCTGTTTTGCACTGGCCTAAGTCCGCTACCAATATCAGTAGGAATGTTGAAGGTAAAGAAATATATGGATATATCGAAACTTTCCTGAAACCTCGTCCAAAAAAAGGTATGTCAAGTATTAAACATTTGATACGTACCGACTCTTTGTCGGATTCGAATTTGAAAAAAATATGTATAAAATAATATTCACCTCTAAGAAGAAAATTGTCACATAAGAAACTTCTGGAGCATTTAAATTCCTGTAATAAACTGAAATTGGCAAACCCTAACTCCAATTGTAGGGCCCTAATTTTAGTATAGTCTAATCGCTGCTTAAATGTTATTAGATTTGCTCAATTTTACGATTTTGTTTTAATTCGCGCCTTTTATAAAATCCTTACGATGTTAAATTGATTGTCAGTATTTATGATCATAATTATAAAACAATAGTATTTATAGTAGAGTAGATAATACAAAAATAGTAGGCCCGTTTTAGTTCTATCCATATAATTATGGATAAATAATTACCTACACTAGACTAGTTGACAGTTAGCAACCCGGATTTGTGAGGCTAATTCCACAGACGGATAAGTTATTGTATCGATAATAATAAACTTGGAGGTGCTCAGAGTTAGTTATTGCCGAGGTTCCCAAGAATAGAGCGGGTAGTTAGCCCGCCATGACAGACTGGCGGACTGACGTGCAAATAAAAGTTCTATGTAGATACGCCGACGGCGACATAAAGGGGCAGCGTTTGAACACGACAACGCTGCGAGTATTGTCTCGGTAATGAAAGATGGAGACATCTTTTGCGCGGATTTTCTATCTGCCCTTTTGTTTTTTTTCGCCTTAAGGAAGGAAACCACGCTTCTTGCCGTTTTCGTGCAAGTGAGAATTTTAGAGAGAATTTGTGGAAAAACACCTTTTTCATAAGAGAAAGAGCTGGGGTGGAATTTTTATCATTCGCATGGGTGCAAAGTATTATACATATAAACCTTCCTTTTGAATCACTCTATCTAGTAAAAAAAGCCGCATCAAGATCCGTTGTGCAGTTTTAAAGATCTAAGCATACATAGGGACAGACAGACAGCGGGACGACTTTGTTTTATACTAAGTAGATAGTGATTGAAAGCGATACCGGTAACGAAATCCAACTAGAAGCTGCAACTTTACTTCGTAAAGCTTTTCTATCGTTGCAATTGTCTAGGGTGACCTTTTTAACGTGGAGAAAGGGTGATGCATAACTGCAGTTATTCATTTGCGAGACGGGGAAGCCGCGTGGCGTCCCCTTAACGCGTTTATTTCAGGGCGTCCGCTAAATCTAAACAATGGTTGACACCTCCCGTTGGAACTCTGCCCGTTTCATTTGATCGGATGCGGCGCCTTTGTTTAGTTGCGTCGCTTCGATTGCAGCTGTTTTTTAGGAAACCAACTTGCCAAGTTCACACTTGAGTATATTCATTTGTTGGCCATAAGTAAGTAAAGTAACAGCCTATAAATGTCCCACTGTTGGGCAGAGGTCTCCTCTGTGCAAAGGGCATAGTCTACCACGCAGCCCCACTACGGATTGCCGAACTTCACATATCTTCGAAACAAATTTTTTCTGTATTGTTTCGAAAATACGCAGGTTTCCTCACGATGTTTTCCTTCACCGCTGAGCACGTGATAAGTCAGCACTTAAAGTTAACAATTAGCGCCCGGACACTGAACTATCACGGCTCCAGTTGGCCCATAGGGTCTGAGAATAAAGTAGGGAATTCGCGGCGAACGAAACAGTTTTCTGAAGGAAATGATACTTAGGCTTTTAGCTACAGCTTTTGGCCGGTTATATTAAGTACTAAATTACTAAATTAATATTTTAATCCTTTGCAAGGATGCAAACTAAAGTGACATCATCGCGGGATATTATTTTTTTATATGGCAATCGAGTCGGCAGTTCACCTGATGTTAATTGATAATCGCCGCCCATTGACATTTGCAACACCCGTACGGTTGCAGATGGGTTGCCACGTTTTAATAAAGTGGGCCTCGGCTACCGCAGTCACCAGACGAAACGCAGTATTCGTGTAAAAACAAAAAAATAAATAATTTCGAATACGATTAAAATCCGAATGACAGAAGATTTAATTGAAGGAATTGCTAATATTACAGTTCGCAACAATTCGGAAGGCGACTCGTAGTATGAGTCGCAATAATTGCAAAGAAACAAAAAAAAATAACTCTAATTAATGCTAAATGCCAGTCAAGTGCAGACCCCAATGGTAATGTAATAAATAAATATTTAAAGTCACAATATAAAAAAAAAAATTTAGTCACGTTGTAACATAGTGACAAAAATTCTTATAAAAATGAGTGAAACTTTTAAAGTATACAATTATTAGGAAATATGCGCGTGATTAACAGATCCAGCTTCACTTCTCGGTGTTAGTTCACGTTTAATTTGTGTTTCTATTACAGATCATTACAGCATATAAATATGTTATTCTGTCGTAAGAGTTTTCAACAGAATAAAAAATAATACGTTTCACTACCATGCTTAGTTACAGTTAATGTTTTACGTTTTTCGTTGAGCTAGGCTTTTAGGACTTCCCAGTGAGGTGATGAGTTCAGGTGATGAGCCTATCGCATACCAAGAAGGTGAGGCTATATTATCTTTTGTATCAAATTACATATAACTTTATAAATTGTTGATATCTAATTTTGCTTGTATCTAGTAACTACATAAGAAGTGAGCCTACTTAGTTCTATTCTCTTTGGAGTGATCAACGTCTCTATATCTATAGGGAAGAATTATAAGCTCATCTAGTAGGTCAATGTTCTATAGCTATGGGGACGAGGTGATTGGCAACTTACCAGTGCTCTCGGAGCCGTAGACGTCCGGACACGCTTGATAGTTGAGGAGCAATCTGGAGTCTTCCGTGCAGCTCTCTATTGAAGACACCGGACTCTTGCAGTCGCCGTGTCCTCTGGAACATTGAAGAATTCAATTTAATAGTTGAACTATAATTGCAATAGATAAATAAGCCTGCGAACCATTGTGTTTACATATAAAAAAAGTAACTTAACAGCCTATAAATGTCCTACTGCAGGGCAAAGGCCTCCTCTGTACAGAGGGTATCGGGGCAAAGTCCACCATGCGGCCCCACTGCGAATTGGCGGACTTTGGAAATATTTTTTTTTGTTATGATGTCGCAAATATACAAGTTTTCTCACGATGTTTTCCTTCACCGCGGAGCACGTGATAAGCTAGCACTTAAAGTTAAAAACTTCATTGGTACCGGCACCGGGGCTCGAACTCAGGTTGCTCGAGTAAATTGAATTAAAGGCGAGCGCCCGGCCACTGAGCTATCACGGCTCTTGTAAACATATATTACATATTTTAGCTTAGTTTACATAATATATACGCCCATAATTTGCCTCACGTCTAGGCATAGTCTAAGTAAAGCATGCAGCTCCACCGTAGATTTGCAGACATCACATATTTGTTTTACTTCACATAACGCGAATCATCAGTACCCTCGCTCACGTGTAGCGTTGATCGATAAACCTTACAGAAATGTAAGCCTAGCTTTTTTCGATGTGAAATTGGCATCAAACGCGTCACGTCCCACTAATTGCAAGCGCGGCATGCTTAGGGTGACAACGTTATGTGCCTTCCAATTTAAAACACTTTTTTCCATAATAAAGTAGGATGCTCGCAAAATCTGCTCTGTTAGAAGTTTTGTTTTTTCCTAAGTAACATGAACGAATTCGTTAATTTGAAACTGGGATTTCATAAAAAGGTTAATATGAAACAAAAGATAAGAAAATAATTGCACAGCATTTGTATTGAGTAATTTTTTTGTTGATTGATCATAATATCAAATTTCTCTCAATCTCTCAATTCAAGCAAGATCTAATTTGGATGCGTAGTGGATAAATAAAAGCTTTATTGAGTTTGGAACTAGACACCGTTGTGTAAAGACATGTCGTTAAATATTAATTTGATTACTCATTCTATTTGGACGCAATGATACAATCCTGCGGTCCACATGAAGTGTGGGCGCATTACGAACGCCGACAAAAAAGTGTCCGCCGAAAGCGGACATGTGTCAATTACATCGCGAATCATCGGCCCATCAGGGATTGGTAATGTGTTTTTAATTTAAATTGATGGTCGACGACCGCTTGCCGACAGCAGACAACATGCCCAGTGATAATATGATGGTTGTCATTGCGCGGGTAATTAAGTTTTACAAGCGTTTCCCCGTAAATCGAGCGGATCGAGATATACGAGGTGTAAATTCGATCCCGCGAAATGATGAGTCTTACGTAGATGACAAATTGCGGGAGTGTGCGACCGACATTTGTTGACTGACTTTGCATCTACATGTAATTTCGAGTCTTTTTTATGTGAGAAGGTGGCCAGCGAGCTGGCGGTTCACCTGATGTTTAGTGATAACCGCCACCGATTGACATTTGTAACACCCGAAGGTGTTAGGTCCACGCAGCAGCCTCGGCTGTTGTACGAATGGGCAGAGTCGTCCCGGTTAGTAGCACGACCTCACAGTAGTGGCATGAGGTGGAAGTATAATATCTTCGCTTTCGTTTGGTGAGTGACATAGCCAGAGCACAATTTTCAAAAGATTGTCAACGCATCTGCAACCCTCGGGTGTAGCACATGTCCATATTCCAGGCGGCGGTATTCACTTAGCATCAGGTGAACCGCCTGCTCGCTTGGCAACTTTTCACATAAAAAAACCCGAAGGGTTATAGATGCGTAGGCACCTATTGATAAAGTCCAAAACTTCCACTTCACGCCGGTCTTCTGTGAGTCGCACAGGATTTAGGAACGTGCGGGATTAGTTACGAGACAGGTTTGTGTTATTTGAAGCAGTCGCAAGCTTTATTTTCACCGCATTTTGATGACTTCGGTAGCGCAATTGCTAAGCTATTCGCTCCGGCGTCGAGCTTTAAGGGCTCGATTCCCACACGGGACAAGTTTTTATTTTATTTTTATTTATACTTTATTGCAACCTTTAAATAAAAAGGATTACAAAGGGCGAACTTAATGCCTTTTAGCATTCTCTCCCAGTCAACCGAGGGCGTGGTGAGAAATCAATGGGTTGACGTTAATCGTAAAAAACATAGCCAAAACCGCTTACACGTGTTGTGCCGACCACACCTAGGTGGTTTAAGGGCAGGAGAATGATGATTAATTTTGTTGCAAAAAAAAAGTGTAGTTAAATATGTAAAATTAAAAAATACAGCCTTTTACACGTAAAACTTTTAATAGAGACGGATCATAAACGCTTTGTTATTTTAACATAAACTGAAATTGAAATCCTAAGATTTTGACTTATGTAAATCTCGGCGTATCAATAAACAAATCTAAAACACGGATGTGAGTATAAATCTCGAGGTGTCATCACATTTGTAACAGGAGCAACAGCCGTAACGGTTTCCGTTTGACAGTTTCTAATTGATGACGCCGTCTCTTTCTTTCTTTTCAAGCGTCTGCTGAACTAAGAAATTATTCCTGTGCGCTGAAGGCAAACATGAATTATCGCAACTACAAAGCACATTTAGATTTGGAACAACTATTTAGCACACAAATTTTTGTCTCGTTTGGGATTCGAACTCACCGGGCACGCAATTACAGTGAGCACGGTGGCTATACTACCGGACCTATCTGTGCAATCAAAAATTATATTAACATAAAGAAATACGTTCAACTTTCAGGCGGAGTATTGGTCTTCAGTCGCTTTCGCAGAGGGACGTATTGCATCACTAATTCTCATTAAGCAGTTAATTAGTTTAAAGATTAACGCCTTACGCTACTTGGAGAAGTTGGCGGAATCCACGGAGAGCTTGTTTATTTTAACTATAAGTTTTAAGGAAACTAACTGGCGCAATTACATCAAACGTTTGCCGAAATAGAATTGGTGATTTACTGACTGTAGGATATTTAGATTATTAAAGTCTGATATCAACTTGCAACTTTATTATATGTTAAAAATAATTATATCGTAACTATAACACTTATGTAATTAACATTTCTCTGTTGTCATACTATGGTTATACTGTTTAATAGTGAGCTATTGCAGATTTATCACCCCACAACTAATATATATGCTGACTCATTGTTGGTTTCTCTTGTTACTACGGCACAGCGATGGATCGATAAAATGTGTATAAATCTGGACTTTCCTTTTAGGGACACTACCCCATTGGCAATGGCCCTAATAGGAAATGCAGAATGTGCCTGTAAGGTCAGGTCACCCACGTAGAAACAAGTTCCACATGGGTGACGTCACAGGCAATAGCCATTAACATAATGGTTGTTTCTATCGACCAGCGTGGCACATCACTACGGAATCGAAGTCCGGCGTCGCTGTCCGCTTCCGTTTCACATGAATAAGACGTCGCGTGACAGCTTTATCGCTCCGCGTCGAGAAGTTGGTTAGTCGAATTGACTGAGCATTTAGTTCGGGAAAACGAATGGTCGATTAATTTATGCCCGTTTCCCCGTTGCGGTTAAAACAATTTTAGGATCGACTCCTTTTTCGTTTTATATTTTATGCCACATAAGTTTTCGCCTTAACACCATTTTCAGACGACATTTCGAAATTTCTTGTAAGTACGAGTATAGAAGAGTGCGAGAAGAATTAATACAACGAAAACCTGGTATGTATAATAAACCATTTCACGAATATTTGCATTTCATCGCATAACATTGTTATTTAGAATCATTATTCTATATATTAAATATTATATTGATTGTATGTCATAAATAAAAAAAAATTACATAAATTTTTTTTTAATAAATTACCTGTTGTACGTGAAGGAGAAGGGTCCTTTCAACGGGCAGTCCACGGGCTCAGCGTTTTCCCTGAACATGGAGTAGAGGAGAGCGTCGCCGGTGATGAGGGAGCAGAGGTGGGGCAGAGCGTCCCGGCGGTGGCAGAATGCTGCAAAGCGTCGCAAATTTAGACAAGGACAAGCTCACTCGCCTCGACGAGGTAGACAGAGATAGGTGATGTTCCAATCTGCAGCGATCGTTGACTGAAGTGAGTGATCATCATCGGCAGATTGATCAACACTGAAGTCCCGGAGCTGTGGACTTAGTGACTTCAATTGGAACTTAGAACCTAATTAATGAGACTCAATCTGACACGTATGTGATTTTAAAGGAAGCTAATAGCTAACTGACGTCTTGGCAGACGTTGACCTTTGTTACGCTGGGTATACTAAGGTAGGTACCCATCATCATGTAAGGTCAGCAAGTAAAACGGTGGTTTTACGGTGGTAGGCCACGCAGCGGCCTCGGCTGTTGTACGAATGGGCAGGCTCGTCCGGGTAGGTACCACGACCTCGCAGAAGACCGGCGTAAAGTGGAAGTATAATACTTTCGCGTTTCGCATAGTGAGTGAGGTAGCCGGAGCCCAATTTTCAAAAGGTTGTCAACGCATCTGGAACCCCCGGGTGTAGCAGAAGTCCATGGGCGGCGGTATTCACTTAACATCACGTGAACCGTCTGCTCGCTTGGCAATTTTTCACATAAAAAAAACCCACGCCACCTCCGGGGTTCTTTCAAGTGTGACATCCCCCAGCATCCATCCGCCATACTGCCATTGACAGATGTAGAAATATTGCAGCGTCATTGTTCCAGCTATAAACGCTTTTTTAAATAAAACAAAAACCTCTGGATGGACAACTAAAACAACATCGGAACAAAACACATTCGGAGTAAATAACTGTCAGCGGTCGCTGAACGATTTAAAATAGATCTCAGGTCGTGAATTCTATCGCTGCTCGCTTCGAATTAATTTTCTAAATTGGAGTGGCACCACTATTAGCTATTTAATTTTATCACAGACTCCGAAGTCATGTTAAACGCCAAAAACGATTTTCGTGATTTTTATTGTGTGTGTTTTCAAGTTGATTGGAGAATGGTTTAGATTCACAATCTTATTCAGAAAAGTTTGAAATTTTCTTTAAGACATGTACAGGATAACGTCAGTCGAGTTCGCTAGTTTTATATAAAAGTATCGAAAAACACCATGAAGTTCATACAAAATACTTACTTTCTTTATACTGTAGAACATTGGTATGTTTTTCGTGCATCACTACGCAGCGATAACAGCCTTTTCTGTGAAATTTACGAATGGTTTATTATTAATGAAGTTAGAATTAAAATTATGTTCATATAGATTGATGCTTAACTAAAGTTCCACGCCGCGAAGTGTAGTTCTTTACGAATATAAATTTTCATTGTTATATATGTATATCCACTATATCTATTGATGTTCACGCAAGAATGTCCCGTTAGTTGTAAGTGCATCGACAAATATGTATAGCAGTCTCTCAGGGCATATACAGAGGTCTATATTTCACTTTACACGATTCTTACCTTGTGTCTCATCTAATAATCTGTCGAAATACATATATGTTACGAACATTTATTGTTACTTGAAGTTCTATATGACCATATCTGCCCATGGATGTCTACACACATGTATGAGCTGATAGTCTGGGCCCAGGTAACCTCACTCAGACGAAGAGAAAGTATAAATAGCTTTACTTTTTTCTCTTAATCAGAAGGCGTTATATATAGTCTCTACTACTGGCCCACTCAAAACTACCGAATCTGCAGCATGGAACAACATATAACTACGTTCGCTCATGACCTCCTAAATTACTTTTGCACCATAAATTCTGTTTCGGAATTTCTTCATTCACCCTTTTCCATTTGGACTAAAAATGGCTCATTCAACAATTCAATTTAACACCTTCAGAGTCCAGATGTGTGAAAAAGTATATCGCTCTGTAATTTAAATCTTTCGGATGCCACAAATTTTATGGATATGAATGAATATAGCTCATTGTAAACACCGTGACAAAATGATAAGAATGTATATATCATGTTTTAACGCGGTAGCTAAGCAACACGACGTTGATTTATATAATACTTCTGTCAATCAGTTTAAAAAAATTACTTAGCAACGCTTTTTTAAAAAAAAAATATGACGCGAATATATTTTTGTAACTATTATAATAATTGTCGTTGTAAAATCTACGTCCGGTATTCTTCTTTGTACGCTTATATAGTTTTTTTATATACCTTTATTTTTTTATCTAATTGTGGAAACTTTTAATTGGCCTTTTGTATTTATTATCTAATACTTTACTCATGTGCTAGCTGTTAGTTTCCCTAAAATTGTAAAATAAATAAATGAATAAATTAAAATATGTAGAAAAAGTACGAAAAGATTCTTTTTTTTAATGTTCAATCTTATAGTGCAAAGATTAGCATTATTAACAATTTAAATGTATAAATCATTTAAAATTAGGTGAACTGCCAGCGCGCTTGTCACCTTCTTAAATAAAAAAATTTCTATTTCGGTGCAAAGTTTCTTGTCTTAAATAAACCTTTTCTAATTTGTATAAAGAAATGGTGAGGTGATTCACCTGATTTTAAGTGATAACCCGTGCACATTAATAACATCCGAAGGTTGCAGATTCGTTGTCACTTTTAAATATAGTGGACCCCGGTTATCAGATAATACGCTGATATCACTTCCACTTCACTGTCCATTTGTGAGGTGCTGGTACTTCACCGGACGGTCCTGCCCTTTCGTGCAACAGCGAAGACTGTCACATGGCCCTACCACAGGATTTATGAAACGTTTGAGTCTTAGTGTTTGAAATAATATAAGACGGTACAGGTCCACTGCTGATCATAGGCTTCCCTCACAGATACGCCATCATGTACGACGATCCTGAGCCACCTGCATCCATCGACTTCCACTCACTCCATCTAGTCGGGAGTCTAGTTTATATCAATAGAAATATTTCGTTCGACTTCGATTACTTACTCGTCGACTATGAGGAACTTATCGCCTTCGGAGGAAAGGCACTTCCCTTTGTTGGACAGCCTGTCGCCTTCTATCAGGATGGGTTGGATGACGCCCGACTGGAACCAGCGGCCCTGCCACCGCGCGGGGAATGTGCAACCTGCGGACAAACGGACAGACATGGCTTAAGCAATGGCAAGGAGAAAAGAAGAAGTGCGGATCAGTCGGTGTCTGATTTTCTGCCGGATTATAATGTCAGTTAGCTGACCTAATCAAGGGTTATAACCGGTTGTGTCAAACAATATAAAATAGATTTTTGACCATTAGATATGTGAGCTTGTAACATCACAAGATACCATAAATACAAGCTTCATAGCTCAGTATCCGGGGGCCTCGTTCCGCTCTAGAAATATAAGTTAAATCGTTTTGCCTTAAGCCCAGAGGGGTCACAATATGCATGTGGATACTGGATACCTAGATTTTAGGACCGGCCCCCTACTGACGGCAACCCGCCTCAATTATAACAACCCAGGAAAAATTATCTATGGCTCACACCAAAACTTGTCCCGTGTGGGTCGAACCTACGACCCTCGATGTCGAAGCCAATAACTTAGATTGAAGCCAATAACTAACAATGTTTAGAATCTGCGCCACCTAGTCATGCCGGCACCAATGAAGATATAAAATTGTAGTTTAGTGCAGATTTACGGTAAACAAACTACATTGCGAAGAAAACTGTACATGTCTCAGATTTATTTCTTTTATCAATTAATTCAACATGAAGCCAATATTTTAATTTGAAGCGCACGTCCTACTAACTACGTTATCACAATAAATAATATATATCTCAACTGTAATTGCAAATTATACGATTATCATTAGGGTTTAACTAATTGAATTTTTATAAAAAGTACTTATGCGGGGACATAAGAAATCCCATACTTAGGAATGGTTAAATCGAACACGACTTGACCCGTGATGTCATATTCATATTTATAATAAATATATTTGTTCCTGCATTTTGTATTGAGTCATACTTTAACTCTACTTTTTTCCAAAGGACATAAAAATGACATCAATCTTTCTATACTTTATAATATGCGACTCTAACTGAAAACGGAATGTGAAATTTTAGAGACATGTAATGATGGTATCTGCCGTCTTTTGCATTGAAAGATTCGATCGGAAAAGAAACAGGACTGCGTCACTACCACCTTGAAGTAGAGTGTTGCGCATTTTAATTAGAATATTGAAACATCCAGACAGTAAAACTTCCAACGGAAGACGCCCGCAATCAATTAAATGATCATTAACGATCCAGTTAACGGCGTGCTCATAAAAATAGAGCTATACCGAGTCAACAAACAGCACTGCATTAATTGTTACTTTAATACCAATCCTTTTTCCGCGAATCCGAATCCGAAACAGCTGACAGAAGACAGTCATTAAGCTCCTCGTCAATTGTTACGAGGCTATCAACGCGGGGCCGCGCCGCTCTGAATATTTCATATTTTCATTACACGAAAAATGCGACAGGCGACGCGTTCGCCGCGGGAACCGGCGATCGCATCAGTTCATGTACTGCCGAGCCATTCCCCCTAGAAGGCTGTTTATTCGCTGAAGAAAGACGCTATAATACGTTCCTACGCATTCCTACACTGCGTTTAATCGATGCTGGTAATAACTTCACCTCTCGTTCGATATACAACTAATCGTATTAAAACATTAATATAAGTAAAATAATCTAAGTTAGAAATCACATAATATCCTCGATAATTAATGTTATGTATACGAAATGTGATAATTATAATCGGAGCATTAATAATTAACAAAATTATAACTATCACATTCACAATAAACTTAAGGTTTGGATATCAAGTAAATTAGAAATCAACCTGCAAATATATTTAAGTAAATGTAAGTGACAAACATTGTAGATAAACCAAAATCGGTTTTTCATTAAAGGGGACATAGGTTTGGGATAGGAATTATCTACGGAGCAAACACAGCACGGACGAAAGAAAACAGAGCCGAGTTTCACCGTTCGGAATTATGCAAATCGCCTTATTTCACTTTTATGTCGAACACAAAAAAAAATATGCTATAAAATCCGTTCGGGAACAAGCGCGTCATTAGAATTCGTTAGCGATTTCCTACTGCTTTTATTTAAGATCTGGAATCGTGCCAGAGCTCGCTGGGGGGTGTTTGTCAGTCCCCAATTTCGTGCCGGCGCACGTCAGACAATTCCGGGATTATACGAGTATGTCGGGCCGATCTTTGGCGTTCGGCGAACTTAGCAATTGAATAACACACTGCCCGACACACTTTGCCCACAAGTTTTATCACTTCGGTTGTTATTGCTTCGCCACGTAATGGTATTTTGGGGCGTACGACGATTTCAAATTCAAAATAATCAGCGATTTTGCTAGATAGTGCGGGCCCGGTGACTGATGGATCTTTTTTCACCACTACCGATACGAGCAACATGTATGGTTGTTTGTTTCTTTTCAAGACAGAAAAAAGGACCACCTATACACCCACACACCTATACACCCATTCACGTTAAAGTCTTTCCGTACAAATATTACCTGTGTAGACTTCAACTACTGCATTTATTTTCTAAAATTGTATCACCAGCCCTTGATAGTTTGGATAGCGATCAAGCTACGGCCACTTTTTTATATAAAAATACTTATTTACGCACATAACCAGTTAAACTTCTTTAGCATAACAAATAAAAAATTTATCCCATGTGCCAGTACTCTTTGTACATCAAAAGCGATTGATAACGGTTTAATTACATGTCTTGGAGTTAAAGGTGAATGTTATAAAGTTGTTATTGGTTGCCATGGTAGCACCATGAAGTTCGTGTCGCTTTTGGGTGTTACGCATCGTAAAAGTTCGCTCTCACAGTTTACCCCAAATGCGCCGAAAGAAGTATAACTTCTAAAACACAAGGTGGGGCCATGCATAAGTTTCTGTTGCACGAACGGGCACTCACGTACGGGGCCGTACTAAGTTTCACAGGAGATCGACGTGAGGTGGAAGGTACATATTTTTATTCATCAGGGAGCTAGCCGGGCGCCACTAGTAGGCTAAAAGCTTGGCATCGCATTCGCTACTCCACAGACGCAGCTCGCTGCCACATTCTATATTTAAAATTTTATAAATTATTTAGAAGCCAAATAAAAAAAATAAAGGTTTTTTTACTAATGATATTCAAACCTTGTGTTGAAATGAAAGGTTTTGATCGAGTTTTGGCTAAATTGCTAATTAGCTCGATACCTCAACTCTATCGACCGAATCTGCGGGGCCTTGCACTCAAAGCCCTCATAATGAGGGGCATAGGCGAGTGTTCTGTAAACCGGGCCACTCGTTAAATGCGATATCGACGGCACAAGTGTACTCGTTGATTTATAGGAGATATGAAGTTAATTAGCTCGTAAGTACAAAAAAAAATCTTGAACGGCAGCGTATCTCTTTGTGAGTTGAGTCGTGTAGTGGTCATTTGGTTCCGCTGGGGAAGAAATTAAATGATTTTGTTCGGATCCCTTCTACCAGTCAAAGACATCGAACAGCTTGATCAGGCTTAGTTTTATACTAAACAGGAGATTTTTTGTAAAAATGCTCGAGGCCGCGACAGTGACGCTTAATTGTAGAAATAACTTCGAGCACCAATTGAAAAATCGAACTTACACATTCCGATTAGATATGCCATGTCATGAGTAAGCCTACGTTAAAATTTGAGATCCGCACCTATTTGAGTAGACCCTTTTCAATTTAAATAAAGCATCCAAGTCATTCGATCGCTAATGTCTATAAAAGGTCTTCGCGTTTCGTCTGGTGAGTGGGGTGGCCGGAGCCCAATCTTTAAAGAGTTGTCAACGCACCTGCAATCTTCGGATGTAGCAAATGTCCATGGGCGGCGGTATTCTCTTAACATCAGGTGAACCGTCCGCTCGTTTGGCAAACTTTCACATAAAAAAAAAGTGGAAGTATTATACTCCTGCGTTTCGTCTGGTAGGTGAGGTACCCAGAACCCACTTTATTTCAAGGTGGCAACGCATCTGAAATTCTACGGATGTTGCAAATGTCGATCGGCGGCGTTTATCACCTAACAACAGATGAATCGCCAGATCGCTTGCCAGATTTCACATAAAAAAAAGCTTACTATACTTGCATTCCGTGAGTGAGGTAACCGGGGCCTACTTTCTTAATAACTGAAGCTGCATGCCTTGTTTTTGATGACGAATCTTAGAAAAAAAACCATTGAAAGCTAATAGAATCACACATTTAAATATTTTAATGCATTGCGGTTTGCATCTATAATTGAGATGTCGCTTACTTAGTACGTAATTAACATAATATGTTAATTACATCCAATCCATGTACCAATTGTCTAAAATTAGTATTCATCTTATTGGTGTAACAAAGTGAAATAAACAAATAAATTATGCGATAAAAGCAACGAATCGATAATCTAATAATAAATATTATTCCCGGTTTTCGAAGCTAGGCCGAACCAAACCACTCAGATGTCGTAGCAGCGAAAAGAATCATTTTGCTGTCCCCCGAAGTATCGTATCGAAACCGAGGGTCCTCGAGAGTTTTCCAAGCCGTTTTTATTGTTCTTCATATTTTATGTAAGAATGGAACATTTCTTACCGTCCGTGATATTTATGTAATTTTCTGTGGTGTAAACGTGAGGGGCGCCTCGGAATATTTTATACCTCTTCTCACCTTTGTTTCTGTAAGAGATATTGATTGCAGCGGCGATATTATAGGGGTATGATTGGACAATGTTTATACACTAAAAACTGGAGGATTTGAACTCTGGTTGCTGGAGTATATCAATCACTACATTTAAATAAATAAAATAAAATATCTTTATTCACATAGACGCTTGCGCGTTCTTATGAAACGTCAAAATTTTACAAGAAATTAACACGTTCGTAAGTTACCACCGGTTCGGAAAGCAGTTTCTGTTGAGAAGAAACCGGCAAGAAACAAAAAAAATCAGTTTACAATATAATAGTACAGGTACAATAGTCTTGTTTTAGCCTACGTGAGTATCAACAGTATTAACCCCACACATTGGCGTCGTCAAGATATTCGGCAATAGTATAATAGGCTTTAGCCATAAGTGTACTTTTAATTTTTCGTTTAAATTCATCAAGTGGCA